GAGCAATCAAAGGACGAAAGCAGTTATAGAATGATTAATATGTCAGTTACAGGTGCTTATTAAGTCGTTACAAATGATTAATAAACAGATACGTCCATTATGGCCATGAATGGCTATCAAACCCACTGATGGTGGCTATTTAGAATCCAGGAAAGGAAGGGTCTGGCAGTATAAAAGCAGGTATTCACCAACATATCAGGGGGCGTGAATGAATAACAAAGAAAGAAGTGAAAAACAACAGAAACTTTAGACCATCAACAATGGTGGTCAAGGACCCTTATCCATTACAAACACCTTCAACCATACATTTACGACCTTCCCTGACTAGCATCAATGAGGCCAACCGATTTATGTTCTTTACACAAGAACATATTTCATTGTGAGTGATTAATTAAATATGAAAGTGGGGGTGTGTGTCTCTGAGTTAAGGGTATAGAGATAGTTATAGGTGATGAGTAGAAATGGGTCAGAATTACTAGAAATTATTTTAGTAATATTAATTTATTAGATGTAATTAATTAAAAAGAAAATAGAGCTTTTGGGGTGAAAGTGAGGTTCGAGAAAAAATTAATGGGAAGATTGAGCAATTATTTTGTTAGTAGGGGAGAAAAATATAATTAAGAGTTATTTTTCCCTAATTATATATTATAATGAGAGTAGAAATAACTTATTTTATCAGTACGTAGAAACTAGAGAAGAGAGAAAGATACCAAAAGACTAAGAAGATAAAGAGACTTGGAATGGAGAAGAAGTTCTAGTAGAAATCATAATTTTGCTGCTAGGAGTATCTGATAAGGGGGAAGAATAACTTTCAATAGGATTTTTGCATGAGGGATAGTGTAAAGGAGTCATTAACCTCGATTAGGGTGTATCTTGTAGATGAATTATGTTTGTATGATGAAAATTATCTGTGATGATTGATGAATCTGTGCACTATTCATGACTTATTTTTATGTTTTGATACTTGATGATCTTCCACCATTGTTGAATTGTCGAAGGCTTTGCAAATCATAGATTTTCATGAAAATAATGGAGTTTATGTGTTAAATTATGTGTTAAATCATGGGATAATCGTAGTATGTCTAATTTTGAGATTGGAGGTTTTGGGGAATCAAAATTGGAGTCCTGTAGGTCCTCTAATGGTGAAAATCGCATTTTTTTTCTATTTTGTACAGTGGTAACCGGTTAACATGGTGTAACCGATTACAATTGAATTGGTAAAAAAAAAATTTGAAATTTTTGTGAATGTAACCAGTTACAGGTTTTGGTTAACCGGTTACAACTGTTGTTTTTTCTAGAAATACTGATTTTTCATTTTTAACTATTTTCGTCGTAACTTGGGTTTCGTGACTCGGATTGAGGCGTTGTTCGATGCGTTGAAAAGCTAACGCAAATTAGTATCAATTGGTAAAAACTTCAGAGGCTGAATATGTTGTGATAACATGAGTAATTCATGAGAATGGTTAATAAAAATTAATTGATCGAGTAAATGTCGAGTTGTGCGATTTTGAGGAATATGTTTCTTGAGTTGTGAAAATGTTTGAATATGTGTTGTGAAGAGATGTTAAACGTTGAGAATAAGTATGAAATATGAGGATGTTGTGAATATGAATTATTTTAAGTTATGTTTGTTGTATTGTTGCATGTTTGAAATATAATTCTGTTGAAATGAATTATTAGTATGTTTGTGTTGCGCTGTTCGTAAATAATGTGTATTTTATAATTTTGGTGTGATGTGTAATCCAGATAGGGGATTACTTGAGTTGTCAATGCATTAAAGTTATGATCAAATAGAGGTCTTAGCACATTGATTTGGTGATATGATCATACATTATAAGAGTTGTGTCAAGAGGCATGCCTGCTAGTTCATAGAAGGGGGTTCGTCGTGATTGAGATTTGATTTTCATAGAGAACCGAATATTGAGTTGGTACCACATGCATATGCATGAAGTTGCATAGTCTAGTTGCATTGCATAATAGTTATATGCATAATTATTGAGTTGCGATGTTATGTTATATATGTCTGTTATTATTATTTGTGATTTTTCATCCCTTTATTGATGTTAGATAAGCAGGTAATTGAATAGCTGTTTAGAGTGGATGATAGCATGAAGTTGTTTTCTCTTTTTCTCTCTGCGTCTAATTTGCGTGCTCTGTATAACACTGAGAAAAACGTTTATGATTTATCTTCCGTTGTGTTGAGAAAAAAGTTAAAATACACTTCCATTATTTGATATTTTTACGTATAAAGAGATTGTATTTATGATATCATTATGTTATAAAGTCTTTGAATTTAATTTATTTATTGATTGCATGTTTTGTTAATGAAAAATTCTGTTATGATGATACCTTAATTGAAGATGAGCATGCAAAGATATCCTAAAATAAAGTGTTAATTATTGTTATTATTTGTTAAAGTGTTACAAGACATGTATGAAATATGTGACATTCTACTTTTATTTTAATAAATATTCTGATTTTCGTATAATTGTGCGCGAAATAAATAGTGTTACACATGTGACTAACCACGTTTAATTAGATAAGACATGATTGTTTTCGCACAGTCTCCTTTAAATATACTCAAATTAAAAAAAAAAAAAATTGTACTTTCAAAGCCTCGATCAAACCCTTGTCCATCACTGGCATTGATCCGTGTTATGTCCCTCAAAAAAACATTAACCCTGCAATTTAATTCCTTGCGACTTAATTCCTCCTTTGGTTCAATATCTATTTTAGTAACTAAACTCAAATCTCTTGTATCTTATTTTTTTACACATTTTCCTAAATGGGTCCAGTCAAAACTCAATTAATCCTCTCGCAAGCATTTGCATAATCGATTTGAGATTCAACAAGCACTTCATAAAATGATTGAGTCTAAGTTCTCGTTGTTGCCTTGGCTAGAACAGGTGAAATTGGCAAACCCCAGTTATCAAATATCAAAAGCAAAGTGCGGTGAATGAGGCGCGGAACAGGTGAAATTGGCAAACCCCAACTTTTTCTTGAGATGTTTTAAAGGTGTTAAAATGATTAAATGATGAACTCCCAACTTTTTCTTGAGATGTTTTAAAGGTTGTTGCCTACTACTAAAGAACAATCTAAGATAGATGTCTACATGGAAGCAAGAATGCAGCCTTTTATGGAAAAACATTGGCCACGCTTATTATTGACAAGAAGATTCCGTCATATTCATGTACTAAGCTTGGCATGTAAATTTTCAACACCTAGGCAAATCTGTATTGCTTGGAGATGTTAAAATTCACCTTCTCAAACAGAAGATATAGATTGAAGTAAAATAAAATCAACAATGTTGTCTTCGTTATGGCTAAATCAAAACTAGCCACAAAAAAACAGAACAAGAACACCAAAAGAGAGCAATCAACCGTCTGAGTTATGTTACTCCAAATCAAAATGAAAACAGCAGCACAGTTGAGAAGGAAGATGATGGTGTACTTTAAACTAGGAACATTATGAGATGTAAGATATTTAGTCGTTTATCTTATTATGTCTTATGATCCCACCTTTTATAATTTTCGACCCCCCTTCACAAGGTAAGGTAAGACCACATTTTCAGCTACATTGCCTCAAATTCGAGTGATATTTACTTTATTTGCACCTTGCAATGGAACAAATGCAACTAACATTGAACAATGTGTTATTTGGGAACATGGGAGTGCAACCATCAATAGAATAGGGTGGCTAAAGAAGGGTTACAAGAAAAATATTGCATGAATTCAACTATAGAGAAATCATACTTGAACCACTAAATAGCTTGAATTCAACTTTAGAGAAATCATACTTGATCCACCACAACGGGGCTGGCTTAAGCCAGAATGGCTAAGCTGGACGCTGACCAGGGAAGTCTAGACAAGGACACAATGAGAAGGAAATAAGATTTGTGTGTTTTGCTTCTCTACTTTAGTGTATCTAAAGGAGTTGCATTACACATTGCTGCACTGAAGCTATTAACATTAAATGATTTTAGAATTGGTACTAGTTACTTTTTCAGCTTTTAATTTGTGATTGAAAAAATAAAAAGGTAAAAATGAATAAATCCAATGACTCAATCTGACCCATCGGATTGGTTTCTCTGAACCGTGAACCTTTATCGAGTCACAAAACTAGCCAAATCTAATCTAATAAATCCTAATATGAGATGAATCAGTGTCATCATTTTCAAACTGCTCAAATGATTTGCAAGAACTACAAGAGCTGAATAAACTGATATCATTTTTCAGATTGCTTTTCAGGAGGAAACAGAGTAGGCATACCCATACACACAGGAGGAAACAGAGTAGGCAGACCCATACACACATGAAGTGAAATGGTGAGAGCATTAGTAAACTTAGAAAAGGCGAGACAGGCTGAAAAATATGTAGAGACTTAAAAGTAAAGGTTGAAAAACTAAGGTTGACCAAAAGCTACATGTTGGAGCTTCTAGAAATCATACTGGGAGAGCTCCACACTAACCGGGAAAATAACCCACTGCACAACGACCAAAGACATGCTTTGAAATCATCAAAACCATGTTTTAATTCTAGGTCCACAAAACCAGCATCTAATAAATCATCTAGTAAATGGACAGAATGTGTGCTTCCAACTAGCACACAACGTAAATGGGGAAACTCTGCAATCTCTCATGATCATACCTTACACAGTAAACCTCAAAATCAAATCACAAGAACAATGCAAACAAATAAATCATACACCTAAAATATCATAGACCTAAAATTTCAAATCACTTAGGAACAAGAAAGGAAGAATATTAATCCATCATAAGCATTATCAGATATATAAACCAACCACAATAGAAGCCCCAATTGGCAATGAACCAGAGTCAAAAACACAAAGAACCAAAACCAACCATAGTAATTGTCATAGCATCCTAAGTATAGAAATAAACTTGCTTCCCAAAATTATAAGAATATATAAAAGAAATACTAATCAGTTAAAAACTGTTAAATGTGCAAAAAAGAGAATATGTACTATTCCACCTTTTTCCTTCAAACAGATGTCTCAACGCACTCCCTTGCAAAATGACCTGGCTTCCCGCAATTGAAGCATGTGTTGGTTCCTCCATTGCCACCACCAAACCTTCCATTGTTGCCACCGCCAAACCTTCCACCGCCGTTGCCGCCATCGAACCTCCCGCCTTCAATGTTGCAATCCCTGGCTATGTGACCAACTTCGCCGCACTTATAGCAACCACCACCTCCGCCGCCACTTCGGTCGCTTGGAGTCGCGCAATCTCTTGCAATGTGCCCGATTCCACCACATCTGTAGCAAGAAGTGGCGCCTCCGCTGCTGCGATCAAATCCACCTCCGATATTGCCTCCGCGAGTGCAATCCCTAGCGATATGACCAAAAGAGCCGCAGGTATAACAAGCACCTCCACCACCACCACCGGAATTATTGATCCGGTTGCAATCCCTAGCGATGTGACCAGTGTCACCGCAATTGTAACAGCCGGCACCAGCAGCGCCTCCGCCTCCACCAGAATTATTGCTCCGGTTACACTCTCTAGCGATGTGACCAGTGTCACCACAGTTGTAACAGCCAGCACCGCCGCCGCCACCGTTACGTCTCTCAGTGCCCCTAAATCCACCACCGAATCCACGACCGCCACCTCCACCGCCATACGAGTCCTGCCTGGACTGCAGAGGAGCACCGTTAGGACCGGTAACATCAACAGCCTTAGTTTTTTCATTATCGCCGGTGGCGATGGTGAATTCGACACGATCCCCTTCTGCAAGGGTGCGGAAGCCATCAGATCTGATGGATGATTGATGAACGAAGAGATCTTCGCTGCCGTCATCAGGTTTGATGAAACCAAAGCCTTTGCCACTGTTGAACCATTGCACCACACCCGAGATTCTCTCCTCCGCCATTGATTTTAACCGCAAAGAAACCCTAAACACTCACACTCGATGAATCCTAACTCAGAAACTCTATCAAGTCCTTATAAATAAACCTAGTATATATTCTTTTTCTTTTGTTTTTTTAGGTTGTTATTTTTTTCCGAATAAAAAGCCTAACAAATATATTCAAGAAAAATAATAAAACAACATCGTATTTTGTGATTTTATTTTTTAAAATACTTTATTATTGTTGTTTTATTCAATACTAAAATTTAAATGAAATTTTTTTATTTAATATTAATTTAAAATGAAGGTTATGACTAGAAAGTTAATAGTAGCTAATTAAGTATGAAGTTAATAGAATATTATGTAAAAAATAATAGTAGTGGTTTTAATGGAAGTTATTATAAGTTATATATTAAGATAGGGGTAAAATCGATAGAAAAATAAGATACACCAAAATATTGATGTACCATGTTTTGCTTTTATATATATTATGGATTTGGTTTAATTTTATTGTTTATTTCTTTATTAAAAGAAGACTTAATTATTTGATTTTATAAAAGAGTTTTTTTTAATTCGACGAGGGAGGTTAACCGAGTAAACCCACAACTTATTTATCTAAATAATAACTAATTAATTTTAATCATATTATTTTTATATAGTCCTCAAGCAACCAATCGAAAGAATTTAATAATTTTAATCATATTATTTTTATATAATCCTCAAGCAACCAATCGAAAGAATTTAATAGGTGAAGAAAATTTAAGTTAGGCATTTCTAACCTATTCAAAACAAGTTATTTTATAATGATCAACAGAAGATTGTTCTATCGAAGTGAGTGAGAGATAGCCTTAATTTAGTAAGAATATAAACATAATAATGATTAACTTTTCTAAAGGTGTAAGTGAGAAAAAAAATATATGGACTATGTGATGAAAATATTGTTGCATGCAATTATGTGTTATGCATGATATAAGATTCAACAGAGGCGAAGTCGATTGTATTTAATAGTAGTCAAAGTACATAGTTGTCGAAAGAGTTAACCTCGACAGAATTAAACTTAGTATTTATCTTGTTTTGTTAGTTAGCTAGAGATTACTTAGTGCGCAAGTAATCTCATATATAAATGGAGAGGTACTTTATCATTGTAAGTGTACAAAATAAAAGGAAATTAGTCAGAATAAACGCGTAGAGAAACTCTGCAGAATTTGATCCATTTTCTTTCCCTTTCTCCCAAAATTCTAATTTCTCTTTTCTTTCCCAATTCACTTTTACGAATTTCTTTTCTTCTGAATTCATTGTGCGGCGGAATCATCTTGCAACCAAGGTGTGGTTGAATGACTCAAGTAACGAGCGGGGAACAAGAGGAACTATCAATCAAAAAGATTGATTTCCATTCAATCAAGATTGATTCAGATTATCTCCGAGGTTTGGTTTAATTCAAACATTTTGTATCTAGAACTCTGATTGTGATTCTGGGAGGCATTACACAATGGCTTCTCATCTGAACGGGCATTTTCCAACAAATCTTCCTATCTTGAATGGTAAGAATTATGAGAATTAGTGTAAGTGAGTGAAGGTTGTTTTCTATTATCAAGATCATTGGGATCTTGTGAAGAATGGAATAACACCAATTGGAGAGAATGTTACGGATAAACAAAAGGTTACACATAAAGATTTGAAGAAGAAAGATTATAAAGATTAAAAAGATTATGCAAGTCAATGTCGAGGAGGAAAGAAAGAAAATCAAGAAATTGATGCAAGACTTGTAAGACACAAAGAAGAAAAGGTGTTATTGATGGTCACAGTGAAAGATGAAGAAAGATTCAAGGATCAGTGGTACTTAGACTCGGGTTTCTCATCAGACATGCCTGGAAGGAAATATTGGTTTTTCAACATAAGTCCCTTGGTGAATAATAAGGTAAAATTTGAAAATGACAATACCCTGACTGTTGAAGGTATTGGTGATGTTCTGATTATGAGAAAATATAGCAAAAGGTAAGTAATTTCCAATTTACTATACATACTAGACATGAAAAGCAATTTGTTCAGCATAGGTTAATTGATCGAGAATAATTATAAAGTGTTGATCGAAGATAAGATGATGAGCGTTTTGACTCATGAGGTAGGTTAATCTTGAAGGCACCTATGTCTCATAATAGAACCTTCAAGATTAAACTCAATGTGATGGAGCACAAGTGTCTGGCAACTGTAGCTAACAGAGATGAATGACAATGGCACTACAGACTTAGCCATCTCAACTTCAAAGACATCAAAAATCTGAAAAGAAGAAACATGGTTTCAGGATTACCACAAATCAACATTCCAAATGAAGTGCGTGAAGAATGTGTTTAAGCAAAGCAACACAAGAATAGCTTCAACAAAGATATAGGAAGCAAGTCGAAGGCAATTCTTGAAGTTATATATTTAGATGTGTGTGGTCCTATCTAGGTGGATTTGATTGGAGGTAACAAATACTTTGTCACATTTATAGATGATTTAAGTTAAAAACTCTGTACATACCTAATCAAAAAGAAAAGTGATGTTCTTGAGGTGTTCACAAAGTTTAAATCTATGGACAAGAGACAAAGTGGTCGAAATCTCAAAACATTGAGAACTGATGATGGTGGAGAATATGTGTCAAAGATTTTGATGAATTATATGAGAAAGTGGGGATTATATATGAGGTGGTGCCACCCTACACTCCACAGAAAAATGGAATTCCAGAGAGGAAGAATGGAACCATCATGAGCATGGTAAGGAGTATGCTAAGAGGCAAGCACTTACCTAATAAGTTATGGGGTGAGGATGTATCGACTGCAACATACATCCTAAACATATGTTTGACAATAAATCTAGAAGAAATCAAACCAGAAGAATGTTCATCTGGTGTGAAACTTAGCTTAATTCATCTTAATGTGTTTAGATCTATAGAACATATACATGTGCCTGATCAGTCGAGAAGGAAGCTTGATGACAAGTCTAACTAGATGATACTGATAGAATATTATTTGACTGATGGATATTGATCGGAAAATAGCAAGTATACTATTTTGGCAATTGTAGTTAAAATAAGGGAGTTATCCTCAGTATCGATCTCGAGGACTGCGTAGGCAATATAAGCGTAACTTGTATTCAATTAAACAAAACTCAATTGGGGGTTTTTAGATTTGATTTGAGAATAATAAAAGACGATATTTAAAATAAGGTAAACTAAGGAATAAGGTTTTACAAGATATGAGAGCATACTAGAGGCAATGTATGAATTGCCTTGCAAAAATATTAATCCTTGTTTCTTAACATAACCACAGTTTTTATCAAGTTATTGGCTGTTATTTGTGTTTACTTCTAAACCCTTAGTGAGAAAACCTTTGAAATCATAATCAAGTTATTATGTCCATAGGCAATCAATTTGAAATCAAGCATTGAAAATAGTTTCAGCAGTATTCAAGTGCAATAGGGTAATCCTAAGGTGGTTAAGCATTCAACATTGCAAGAACTTCTTTCTCTCTTTCATCCTTGTTATCCTCTATCTCTTAGGTTGATAAGCTAAGAACTCTTTCCAAAGGTGACTTAGCGATTTGACTGTGAATATCTTTAACTACCATGCTATCTATAACCTCCACAGTGTGACTTATCCCTATATCCTCTTTGTGCTTCATGGTATTCCTCACATCAATTTTCAGCTCTTCATCATACATTTTGAGGGTCATAGTGCCTCCCTCAATATCAGAGGGATATCCTCATCTTCGGACATCTCCAAAATCACAAAATCAACAAGAAACACAAATTTATCAATTTTTACTAGAACATCTTCAACTACCCCATAAGGCCTCTTAACTGAATGATCTGCAAATTGGAGTGTCATCCTAGTATCTTGAACACTTCCTATTCCCAACTTTCTATATATGGACAATGGAATAAGACTCACACTAGCCCCTAAATTAATAAGCGTTTTTTAAATGAGCTATCTCCAATTGTGCACGGAATGGTAACTGATCCTTTATTTGGCTTTTTCACTTGAATCTCCATACCCTACAAAATAGCACTACAAGTTTCAGTTAGAATAACAGGTTCAGTATCGATGGCGCGCTTTTTAGAGATGATGTCCTTCATGAATTTAGCATATATAGGCATCTGCTCAAGTGCCTCGGCAAAAGGGATGTTGATCTCTAACTTTCTGAACATTTCTAGAAACTTCTCAAAAAATTTCTCATGTTGATCTTTTCTCTTGTTTCTTGTTGGGAAAGGAAGCTTAATGACGGATTTTGGTTCAGTGGGTTTTTCCTTCACAACCGACTTTTGAATTTGTTCTTCCTTGGTGGGGATTTTAGTTTCTAAGATTTCCAAATCTACCTCAAGTAATTGGTCCTCTTCCTCAGATTTCTCTTCAGACACCTCAACCATATTCCCACTTCTGGTTGTTACGGTATTCACATTATTACGATCTTTTAGATTTGTCACTATTGCACTAGTTAGGTCACCTTGTACTTGAGAATTTGTTACCTATTACGCTATCTGACCCATTTGAACCTCCAGATTCTTAATAGAAGCATGTTCCTCTGATTATTTATGGTCTCTTCTTGGAACTGGATACTTTGAGCGGCCATCTTTTCAATGGAAATTTCTCAATCTGCTTTCTTTGGAGCTTATTGTTGATACTGTGGTTGAGGTTGTTGATATTATTATGGATATGGTGGTTGTTGTTGTTGTTGAGGTCAGTACTGTTGTTACTGTGATTGGTTTTGGTACTGAGTAGGTCCTTGCCTCTATGCATTCCCTTGTTAGTCTTTCCAGGAGAAGTTTGGATGATTCTTCTCCAGCCCAGATTGTAAGTATTAGAATAAGGGTTATTTTGCTTCAAGAAAATAATTTCTTTACTTTGTTGACACGTGGCTACACAATGCATAGCAAAATGAGGACCCCCCACAAATCTCACAACTAACAACTTGTACCGGTTGAACTTGTGCTACAGTTCGGGTACCTTATTCATAGCTTTCAGTCTCCTCTCAACTTTAGCAGTGATT